TAAAAAAGGATACAAATGTAGCTAATGGTGGATCACATGTCTCTCTTGCATGCAAATTTAGGTTGTAGTAACTTTAAATTTAAGCATCTGGTTTAAATATTTATAAGGAATATTTTAAATCGTTAATCTGAATCCTTGTCTATTTGAATAGAAATATATCTAATATCCAAATTTATTATTTTGCATGTTTTGTTATTATCATAGAATGAGACTTAAAGTAGTGATGGTCTGAAGTACAGGGACATCAAAGACGCACAGAGTATTTTTAAAGCTAGGTTATGCCAATGGATATGTATGATTTGAATTTGTTCACAAGAAAAAAGATTTCTGTGTTGATCAGGGATTCCAAGAAATAACCCTTAATGATTTGTGGATTAGACATGTTGCATCTTTTTCAATAGAGAATGGTTTGCCACATGGGGGCAGTCTCTGATTTTCATTAACAAAGTATTTTTTCATCTAAATTATTTTAATACTAGCAAACAGACTATGAGCCATACTCTGCCGTGACTAACCTACATTCTGTGGCATATCTAACAATACCAGCAAATGCAAACATGATGACTCAGGGGTGTAGGTTGTAGCCGTGTTGGTCTAAGGACATAGGCAGACAAGGTTCCTTGGGTGAATCTGATATCTTTTATTAGACCAACCCAAATAGTTGGAGAATAGTTATTAAGCAAGCTTTCGGGTTCAAAAACCCTTCGTCAGGCTACGGAAGTTTCAGCAGTCGGTGTGTGCTCTTCCTGGATGGAATGAGAAGTGAAGAAGCCAGGGGCTGGGCTGGGGAGTCAGTTGCCAGGCAGATTATGATGTGTCAAAAATCCAATGTCTGTATTTAGTCCATGATTTTTAGTATCCAGGAGGTTGATAAAGTGGAGTTCATAGGCTCATCTCTGGGAAGTGTTTTGTAAGTTTCCTTTTGAGGATCAGGACTGAGAGATTGGCGAGAGAGTGGTTTTCTTGTGAGAAATGTGCCCCCACCGGTAATTGGGTGTTTCTGTCTTTGATGGATTTCCAGTGTGCATTCATTCTGGTGCGCAGTTGTTGTTTGGTCTCTCCTACATATTTTCCATCAGGGCATTTGGTGCATTGGATGAGAGATATTACATTTCTGGAGATGCAGCTGTAAGATCCAGGAATGGTGATGGCTCTGTTGTGGGGTGTAGTAATAGTGGGGGTGGTGGAGATGTGTTGGCAGGTTTTGCATTTCTTGTCACGACATGGTCTGGATCCTTTTGGTGTGTTTTGGGCTTGAGGAAGTTTGCTTCTGGTGATGAGGTTAGCGAGGTTCGGTGCTTGTTTGAAGGCTAGAATGGGTGGCTCTGGGAAGATCTTTTTAAGAATATGATGATTCTGCTTTTGCATGCCGTTAAAATAAATGGCATATTGTCAAAAAAGTATTAGTTATTGTGTGTTAATACAGTAGGAAGAAAAGAGGACAGTGCCTAGCAAAAGAAAGCTAGGCTTTAGTTTACATTTTGGATTGTTTTGTAATAAAACACATGGTACACGCTTTACAAATAACCAGGACTTTTTTTTTCTTTGTTCACAGCTTGAAACAATGTTTAAAAGCAATCCTAAAATGGTGAATGTGTCTGAAAGGGAATCATTCAGATGTCTGGTCAAGTTCTCTAGTCCACATCTTTTAGAAGCTTTGAAATCCTTGGCACCAGCAGGTAAATATTTCAACTTTGATAAAAAAACAAAAATGTAGTAGGCAAAATAACTTACCATTGTTATAATCTACTAAGCATGCTTCCACATGGGTTGGGGTCAATTAAACAGCTTTTAGCCTGTGTACTTGAATGTAACTATCAGTAGAATTTTTAAAAATTGGGGACCTGGAGCAGGTATAATTATCAATAACTGTACATTTTATAACAGATAAATCCCAAATTATGTTAACAGCCTCCCTAAAACAATCCCAAGTAAAAAAAAAAAAAATAGAAAGCTGACACAGAGGCACTTCACAGTGCCATAATGACTGGAGCAGCAACTCTGTAGATCAGCCTGAACAAATCAAATGAACTGGCCCAGAACTGGATTTGTTGATGACTTAGGCACTTGACAACAAGTGGTGTGTTTTGTTTTTTTTTATTTTGGATGGTAAATTTGAGCCTCTGTATATATGAATAGAAATATAGCAAATAATTATTATAATAATAATAATAATAATGGTTTGTGTATCTTGTTCCAGCTGGGATGGGTTTGTTTTTCCCACAAGAATATAACTTGCTTGTGGAATTATAATGATTGTACCTGGCTACTCAATTTATAGTTTAAAAGGTATATTGAGTAACAACAATATTTTTAACAAGTTACATTATTAAGTAAACTGGGGTATGAATCAGGTTGTAATTCTTCTCTCTTGTTTCCTGCAGGTATGGCTGATGCACCACTTTCACCATTACTTACATGCATACCACACAAAGCCAGGAACTACTTTAAAATTAAAGAGAGAAAAGGTGTACTTGCAGCAAGCCTTGTAAGCCCCTAACTTTCCTGCAAAGACTGATCCATACAGAAATGTACATATGTATATGGGTTAGTCAAGGAGATTGCTTGGCCGGTTAAACAGTGAATTTAGGCAGCTAAACCAGTTATTTCATTAGAGTTCCTCTACAGTCCATAAAGTATTTGATGGAAAGATGCAACTTAAAACAGACTTTATCAGAATACAGTAGGTCAAGTAATGGTGTGGTAAATCTGGCATTTGCTTACTGTAGTAGCATCATTTAATATAATGGAAAACCCTATAATATGTCATTCACTATACGAGAAACATTCTGGCTGAGACAAGACAAACCTATGCTACTGGGAAAATGAACATTTCAAATTTGCCTTGACACTGCATTCTAGCAGAAGATTCTTGAGACACCATTCAGTTGTCATGATTGCATTTATAGTAATATATATAGTAACATGCTTTTATGTATTAAAAGTGGTTTGGGGCTTCTTATTAGTAAAAGGTGGTATCAAGCAGTTGGCAGACATTTTTCATGTTCTTAAAATAGTGTTAGTAAATACCTAATAAAGAGAGAGAATGCTTTCTGTACATTATATTTTAATCTCTATTTTACCAAGTGACTGAGAAGGTATTGAAGCAGAGATTTATTTAAGTTTTCTCCCAGATTATTAAATAAATGAATCTAAAACTTTTGAACCTGTGTCAGACTTTAGAGCATCATTGCTTTATAATTTGCTCTTCATATGCTACAACAAAGTGCATTATTGGAATTGTACATGCATCTCTGCTTATCAAAATATTGGTGGGAAGCATCTGTGATGAATGTTACTGCTAATTGTTATTAATGGCCTTCTGAAATAAGTTGAAACTAGATGGTGCCCAAACATACAGTTGGTATACCTTTACTTGGAGGAAATGGTGTTTCCGAATGTGTCCTTTTTAAGGACTGACCCACCTTGTGTTCTAAAGTAATCCATTTCTTTCTGACTTCGTGGACATAAAGATCTCAAGCAGAGTCTGGTAGCACAAATTAAAGAAAATAATAGGTTTGCAGTGCAGTTCTGAGCATTCTTAACTGTACAGACTTTTTTAATGCAACTCTCTTATGATTTTTGTATTTAGGGTACCAGTCTGAAGAACTTGGTTTGCAGTTAACTTAGATTGGACAAAGTATGTGTCTTAAAATTGCTAAACATTAAAATTTAATAGTAGACATTCCTTATGTGTGTAAAAAAAAAAATGTGTCCACTTGCATCAAATAATTTCTATACGCAGACTTCTCCAGAACAGGTCATGCTGTAGCAGTGACATTTAGCAAATTAGTGACACCTGTCACAGCAGCTTCCTACCCCTGCTCCATGCAGCTGTGGGTTTAAGCCCTCCGCTTCCCTTCCAGCACCACAGGGCATAAATCAACTATCAGGTAGACCATGGGGGGCAGGGATCAGAGCAGCTCTTGAGGAGAAAGTGGGGCTTATCTTTTGGCACACCTGAAAAAAGTTGGCCACCACTGCTCTAGTAAAGTACTCTAAAGTTTTTTGGTCCTGCATTTACATCCTCCTTGCCCCCTACTATCTGAGAGGTACTTAAGGTTGCATCATTTTAAAGTGGCGGTGCGCACTCTGTCAGAGTTTGGGAGTCGCTGTGTTAAAGGAAGACAACTTTGTTGGCAGTTCATTTCTGTAACTCGGTTCTGCTTTATTTAATCTTATTGGCTGACAAAAGCATTTAATTATTAAGCTATTAGTACTCTGAAATAATTACTGCTTTAACTTGAGTGCCAGGAAAGGTGGCAGGAAGACCAAAGCTCAAGGAGGGCTCCTGTCCTGGCACCCCTCCCTCCCTACCGCTGCCCTTACCCGCTGGAGGGGCCCATGCCGCCCGATGCCAAAAAGTGCGTGTCTGAAGTTGCACCTCCCTCCCCGCAGAGGAAGTTAGAGGATTTCGGACGTGGGGGGGAGGTTTCAGATGCTTGACAGAGGAGGCAAGCGAGCAAGGGGCAGCGCTGCAGCTGCTATAATTTCACAGCCCGTGGGAGCGGGAAGGGAAGACCCTCGCGTCCAGCCCCCGGCCAGTGCTGGGGTCAAACGCGGCCTCCTGTTTCCGAGAGGCCGCGGAGGTGCCGGCGGACAAGCGGTGCTGCCAGGCGTCACCTCCTGCCATCGCGGCCCCCGGGCCGCCCGGCCCCTCGCCCCAGCCGCATCCTACCAGGGCCGGCCACCCTCTCCCTGCCCGGACCAGGTAGAAATGCGCCCGGGGCTGTCTCAACCGAAGCCACCCAGGACGTGGCGGGGCACCTAACGGCGCCCCTCCACTCTCCCGGGGGCCGATGGGCGTCCCCGCATCCAGAACAGGCCGGTGAGTCGCCGGCAGAGCACCGCGCGGCCCCCGCAGCCGACAT